AATTAGGTGAGCTGAGTGAGGGAAGGTAAAGAGGTAGGTTCTATTTGGTGGAGGGACATACGTAGATCAGATGGTTTAGACATGGATAAAAATGGGTTGGTTGGACGAGAGTTTTAGTTGTGATATAGGCATGGGGAATCATGTGCAATTCTAGATGGATAAACGGTTAGGAGAGGCGTCTCTTGCTGACAAATTTCCTAGGCTTTTATGTTTTCAACAGGCAAGGATGCAAATGTAAGTCAGATAGGCACCTGAAGCAATGGTATATGTTCCTGGGCACTAAACTTGAGACGCGAGCTACTGCCATAGGAGACTAAACAGACAAGTGAGTTGGAGGTATTATTAGTGTCATCATCAATTGTGCAAGGAAAAATAGAAACATTGGTGTGGAGACACAGTAAGGAAGGTAAATATTTAGTGAAAAGAGGGTACTCGGTTCTCAATCAGCCAACCATGATGGAAGATGATGGTTTCATCAAGATAATATGGATTTCTACTGCGCCAAGTAAGACAAAAGCTTTTCTTTGGCAATTATTCCTTGACAGGATTCCAACTAGATTAAATCTATAGAATAGAGAGGTTTTTGAAAATATTACTTTGTGTGTGTGTGGGCTCTTCGAGCAAAATGTGGAAAATTCGGTCACCTATTTTTGCACTATAGTGTTATATACGCTTTGTGGATGAAATGTATGTCTTGGTGAGGAATTGTATCAGCCATTCCACTAAGTTGTAATCAAGCCTTAGAACTACTATGCAACTTAGCGAGATCTAGAGGGACAAGCATAGGATGGAGGACTGTCTGTATTGCAAGCATATGGTCTATTTGGCTGGCGCGGAATGAAAGGATCTTTAAAGGAAATCAGATTGATGTGGAAAGATTATTCGAACTTGTATAGTTGAATTATTTCATTGGATCAAAAGAACATTAGTGGGTTGTCATTTTAGCCTCTTCAAGTGGTCTCAACAGCCACAATTATGCATGGTGGTGGTACAGAGGAAACTAAATTTGCTACGGGACCATGGATGAGGGTTAGGGCGGTGTAGTGGCACAAAGTACTCTTCATGGTTAATTTGAATATTGCTGACTTTGTTACCATTACACTGTAAGTGAGGAAAAGTAATGTTCTTGTATATATTTTTATAAAGAATTCAAGTACATATATATATATATACAATGCTAGACAAGCTAAGGCAAAAGATCCTAGGCTAACGGTACAAAATTGAATAAGGAAAAACTAGGAAATAAATGTGCCTAACGGCTAGCTAACAGCTAGTGATTGATTTTGTGCTGTGATTGAGATTCTACGCTAGTGAATATCTCTAACACCCCCCTTCAAGTTGGTGCATGTAAATCTGTAATGCCCAACTTGCGGAGAAGAAATTGAAATTGATCACCTCCCAATGCCTTTGTAAATATATCAGCCACTTGTAGGTTGGAGCGAACATGAGAAGTCTTAATAAGACCAACTTGAATCCAATGACGAATAAAATGACAATCAAGTTTAATGTGTTTTGTGCGTTCATGAAAGACTGGATTTGTGGCTATGTGAATAGCTGCTTGATTATCACAATGCAATTGCATTGGTTGAAAAGTATCAACTCCTAATGTCTTGAGCAAGCCTTTGAGCCATAGGAGTTCACTAACAGTGGAAGCCATAGCTCTATATTCAGCTTCTACTGATGATCTTGAGACTGTGGATTGTTTTTTGGTTTTCCACGATATAGGTGAGTTGCCGAGCAAGGTGAGGTAGCCAATTGTAGATCTCCTTGTTGTGGGGCAACTAGCACAATCAAAATCACAATAGGCTGAAAGTTGTAAAGAACTTGATGAAGAAAGGAAAATCCCTTGTCCAAGTGAGGATTTCAAGTATCGCAAAACCCACATTGCTACATCTAAATGAGGTTGTCGAGGAGCTTGCATAAATTGACTAAGAGTAGGGACAACGAATGAAATTTCAGGCCGAGTTATAGTCAAATATATTAGCTTTCCAACCAGTCTCCTATATTGCATAGGATCAGATAGAGAGGAACCAGTACTAGGAGTGAGTTTCAACTTTTGCTTCATAGGAAAAAGGCATGGCTTGGTTCCAAGCATTCCAACTTCAGTAAGGATGTCAAGTGTATATTTTCGTTGACAAAGGAAAATTCCAGAGGGATGTCGAGCCACTTCAATACCTAGGAAGTATTTGAGCTTGCCAAGATCTTTGATGTGAAACATTGTATGAAGAAATTCTTTCAATTTCTAACAAAGAGATGAATTATTACTTATAATAATCAAATCATCAACGTAAACTAGTACGGCGAGGAAATTATTCTCTCACCGATAAGTGAAAAGTGAATAATCACTCATAGATTGTTGAAAACCAAAAAGTTTTAAAGCTGAAACAAATTTGGCAAACCAATTTCTTGATGCTTGCTTGAGTCTATATAAGGACTTCCTTAGGTAACAAACACGTTGTTCTCCTTTATTCCCATAGCCTGGAGGTAGTTGCATATAAACTTCTTCATTAAGATCTCTATGGAGAAAGGCATTGTGAACATCCAATTGATGTAACTCCCAATTACGAGCAACGGCAATAGCTAGTAAGCATCGAACGGGAACTAGCTTAGCAACAGGGGCAAAGGTATCATGGTAATCTATGCCTTCAACTTAGGTGAATCCCTTTGCAACAAGGTGTGCCTTATATCTTTCAATTTTCCCATCAGCATTATATTTGATTTTATAGACCCATTTGCAACCTATAGGCATTTTGTCAAGAGGAAGTGTCTCCAAAGTCCAAGTATTATTTTTCTCGAGAGCATCAATTATGGCTTTCATCACTTGTCTCCATTTGGGATCTTGGATAGCCTTAGAAAAGGATTTTGGCTCATCTTTAGTGGAGATGGCCGCTAGAAAAGAACGGTGAGTAGGACTAAATTTATCATATGCAATAAAATGAGAAATAGAATACGGCGTACCTGAGGTCAAAGAAGTGTTGGGATTTGTTTGAACTCCATTTAAGATGTAGTCTGTGAGATAGGTTGGCTTCCTTCTCTCACGTTGTGGCCTTGAATTGAAATTAATGGGACTGGCCACATCACCATGGCTTGCATCAAAAGTTCTAGTAATTGTTGGGTTTGCGTCTCCCTCTCCATGTGCAGCATTGCAAGCATCGACGCTTGAGTTAGCACTATCAACATTCCTTGGGCAAGCCTGTTTGGGTCGTATGATGGTGGGTTGATCAACTTTTGGTGGATCATCATCATCAAAATATTGTAAAGGCATGGATTTTCTTGATTCATCATGGCGAATTGAATTAGTGTCCTGAAATGGGAAAATGTTTTCATAGAAAATAACATCACGAGAAACAAATATTTGTTTAGTTTCAAGATCAAAAATACGATATCCTTTCTTACCATGAGGGTATCCAATAAAGATACATTTTTTAGATCGAGGAGAAAACTTACTTGTAGGCAAGGAGTGATCTTTTACATAACATAAGCAACCAAAAACTTTTAGGTGGTTATATAAAGGTGCCTTACCAAAGAGAAGTTCATACGGAGCTTTACCATCAAGTAATGGTGTGGGTGTATAATTGATAAGGTAGGCAGCTGTGAGAACACATTCTCCCCAAAAGGAAATAGGTAAGCTGGCTTGAAATCGCAAAGCTCAAGCAACATTTAGAATATGCCTATGCTTTCTTTCCACCACTCCGTTTTGTTGGGGTGTATTCACACATGAGGTTTGATGCAAAATCCCATTTGCATGAAAGAAGGCCTGCATAGAGTTAGAGAGAAATTCTTGTCCATTGTCGGATCTTATTTGCTTTACCTGCAAACCAAACTGAGTCTTAACCATATTAAGAAACATAGTCAGAAATTGATAAGTTTCTGATTTGTATTTCATAAGAAATACCCAATTAGCACAAGTGTAATCATCAACAATAGTACGAAAGTAATGTGCTCCAAAATGAAATGACGTTTGATACCTTCCCCAAATATCACAATGTATTAAAAGAAAGGGTGATTCAACTCTCTTTCTTTCAAGAGGAAAAGTCTTTCTTGTTTGTTTTGCCCGTTGACAAGGATCACAAGATCTAGGAAAAGACTTGGGGTCAAAAGAAATATTTTTAGATAATAATGAAATACGATCAAATGAAGCATGCCCTAATCTTTGGTGCCAAAGCTCCATGGAAGATGAGACAGTGGCATTCAAAATAGGAGCCTCTGTTATGGCCTTGAAATAGTAAAGACCATTATTCATTTCACCTATTTCGACCAATTTTTTCTTGTTAAGTGCTGTAAAACACAAAATGTAGGTAAGAAGATTACTACACAATTTAAATCCCTACTCAACTTACTCACTGATATAAGATTGCATGTGAACTCAAGTATGTACAAAACATTGTCAATGGTAATATTTGGAGCCAAAGATGCTCGTCCAATACCATGTATAGAGACAAGCTTTCCATCAGGGATTTTTGCATAATTGTGGGTGGGTAAAGTTGCAATTGTTCAAGTTTATTTTTATAACCAGTCACATGATTAGAAGCACCACTATCAAAAATCCAATTAGATAAGTTCATGATATTCTTACCAAAGATATCACTGAGAGAGGAATACAAATTCATGAATTCCTTACAAGAATCGAAGAGAGCTGGAGAAGTCAAAAACTGATTTGAGCTAGCCATGAACTTGTTGGGAATTTTCGCTGATTCTTTTTCAGCCATAAGGCCAGCCGTATCTGGACAGCAAAAATAAAACTCTAAAGGATCAATTCTGCTCTAATACCATGAGGAAAAGTAATGTTCTTGTATATATTTTTATAAGGAATTCAAGTACATATATATATATATATATATACAATGCTAGACAAGCTAAGGCAAAAGATCCTAGGCTAATGGTACAAAATTGAATAAGGAAAAACTGGGAAATAAATGTGCCTAACGGCTAGCTAACAGCTAGTGAATGATTTTGTGCTGTGATTGAGATTCTATGCTAGTGAATATCTCTAACAGTAAGCACGAATAGTTAAACTTACCCCTTATTTGTTGTATATGGATTAAGTACCCATTGTACTCAAATCAATAAAATTGCTGTTGAAAAAAAAAAATCTCAGTTTCCTTCCTACTCTATTCTCGCAGGAAAGATGCACAGAGACTGAGAGTTTGGCATTTGAAAATTTCTAGTCTCTTCGTTTGGTTGTGGTTTTGAGTGTGTTTTGAAGTACTTCCTGGAGAAAGTGGCCGAGGGTCGACCCATCTGTCGCGGTTGAATTCTCAAAGCTAACCCCAAAAATCTATCAAGGACCAGTCACCGCGACAAATATTCCTTGGGTCCAATTCTTTGTCAGCCCAAACAACAGACCTTGGGTCCTAATTGCTGGATACCAAGAAAGAAAAATGAATATATGGGGCTCAATGGCCCTTCAACGGTTATACCTAAATTTTACTTATTTCTCTAGATTAAAATGGAACTGCTTTGTTTAATTCTTAATCTAGAAAATTAAATTTGTTTTCTGTTTTCTTTCAACATTCTTCTTCTAACGCTTAGCTTAGCTAAAACTAAATTCACTTGTTTCACATACTAAAATAGGAGTCTTTTTATTTAGTTCTTTTGATCGGCCTCACGTCTCTTTATTTTGATGTCTTAGGTTTTCTAAATAACATCGAATGCTTCTATTCTAATTTCACCCTCATTATTTTAATCTATTAATGGAGAGAGGGACTTTTATTAATGAACAATATGAATTTTAAA